AGAGATATGTGCACAACCTGTACTTATTCATTGTGGAAACTTTATTTATCAAATGAGTGTTTTGTGGGATGTGATGTGGGCCAATGGCCTTAAACACTGAATAAACTTACTTACTTTCTTACTTGCGAAGTAAAACCAATCCGTGCTGTGAACAAAAGTGGATACAATCAACTTATGTCTCACCCGTTCTTGTTATCTTGTATGTAGTTGGGTTTATGGTACATGTATAGGCTTAACGACCCTGTCAACAGTACTAGGTTATTTTAAGAGACGGAGTCTCTGAGTTTAACGTCCATCTCCGAAAGGACCGAGCCAAATGAGAAATTCGTTTAAAGTGCTTTTCCCAAGGACACTGCGTCGGACCGAGCAAAGGCTCGATCCCCCGATCCCATAATCTCATGATTGCGAGTCCTGTAACCTAACCACTAGACTACCGATGCCACATGCAGTTGGGGGTGTCAATAAAAACTTTTACAAAAACAAATGTACCAAAACCATGACACTGTTATCACAAGTCAGAGCCGATATTACCAGCGTCTGTAATGTAGCGTTTAGGCGCTTCGCTGCCGTACGCAGGAGATTAGAGTTCGATTCCCGAGTGAGAATACATTTTTATCGAGTATCTCGGTCTTTCTGCTGGAATGTTTGATGCCTCTAAGCCAGGGTGGGTTTTTTTGTTTGTTTGGTTTTTAAAAAATGTATTTTGTATTAATTTGTTGTTTTTTTGTTTTTTGTTGTTTTTTGTTTTTGTTGTTGTTTTGTTTTGGGGTTGTTGTTGTTTTGTTTTTTTTGTTTGTTTTTTTGGGGGGTGTAAGTGTTTTAAGACGCTCGCAACTGCATTAGTTCGCATGAGCGCGCGGCACACATTAAACATTTTTCCAGGGTATCTCTGACAGGCAATGTCGGAAGCGTGCCTCCGAAATTATCTAAATTGTGTCAATGGGGGGCGTAAAGAAAAACACCTACGGATAAAAACAAAATAAGTCTAAGCCGCCATCCGCTGCTCTCTCTCTCCTCCTCAGACAAGTGCGAGCTACTACATGTGCTGGTTTACCATGAAGAGGGCGGAGATCCTTGTGAACTTCATGAAAGGACGTACGTGTCTGCACGACCTTTTCAAGGTCAAGGAGAGAGAATGGTCGGGCCTCGACGTGAGCGACTTCCGGAACGACACCACGACCAACCCCTTCCTGTGTGCCGAACTCCTGTTTTGCCCAGGTATTTCGACGATCACTTAGAGTCCCTTTACACGTACAGTTCATTCACCGACAAACTGACAGCTTAACCGACAGACGCTAGATCTGGGTCATCGTTAAACTGACAGTTCATCGACGAGAGAAGCTCCAATTAGACGTACACGTTTTTCTTTTATCGTTAGAGTGTCAGTCCTTGACAAAACACACAAAGCACACACAAAAATTAACTTAGTAATCCGGCATTAAATTGTGTTCCCCGCGTGAGTTTGACTAATTTTGGGTGGCTGGTCACGAAAATCTTTTTAAATTTTTTTTTTATTTGACCAATATTTAGGAACATCTTGGAATGCATTTTCAACTCCGCCAGGGGCAACATCAAAGAAGTTGCTCCCTCTTCGTCATGTCTTCAGTTCGCCGGCCGGCTAATATCTGGCTTGTCAGATATCTGGTTGTTGGGCTGAGAACCCTTCGATATCGAGAGGATTGCTCCTTTCCAAGCTCAGTTTTACCAGGCAGTTGACAGGATGCCGGCCGTCTTTTCAATATCTTACAGTTTGTCGATCAATGAACTGTAAGTGTAAATGGGGCCTTACACATGCAGAGATTAAGAATATTCTTTACGTAGGCCTCAGTGGTCATGTTATTGCTATAATGATAACTGGTCGCTTAGTTAAAAGCATAACTAGGCTAACCTGAAAAAAGCTGTTTTGAGAAAAATCAATTTTAAAGTTGAGAACCTACAAAATCCATTCTAAGTCCTTCATTTTTTAAGCGATACTGCTGGATTTAAGTGAGTAGGTAGATTGCTATTAGTTATATTACTCACAATAGTTTTTCCTACAAATGTAGTAATACGGTACTTTTCTTTAAAGTAAGCCAAAAAAACAAAAACAATATGGGTTAGCCCTGTCGTGCATATGTATCATAAAAAAGTGAAAATCTTGACGACAATATGGGCTATCCCAACTAATTAAAGT